TGTGGCTGTCCCGAGAGTCCTGATCATTGGCTTATCAGGCCCATTCAGAGGGCTCTGTTCCGTTGGGCAGAAATCCTCCCGAGAGGGCAGGTGGCACCGAGTCCACGGCAGCTGACGACGAAGGGGTCGCCAGCTTCCTCCTTGACCTGTCTGGCCAGGCTCTGTCTCCGGCAGGAGCCCAAGCCCCTGGTCCCCTGGAGGTCATCAGAGGGAGGACGGCATGGAGGGGGGTCTCGACCAACCACCTGGGCCCCGGCCCGCCCTCCCAGCACAATCCTGGGCCGTGACCCCCACCCACAGCAGCTCCTTCCAGGGGAGGGGCCTGGGACTCAGCTTCAAGCCACTCCAGACCCAGCCCCACACCGTTGGGTGGAGAACACCAATGCCAACAAAGGAGAAACAGGCTGGAGGGCGTCTGGCTCAAGGGCCAGGACAGGGAGGTCAGTCAATGAGAGCGCTGGGGTCGTCTCGGGCCCCAGGCCGGGCGGGAGGCTTCGCCGGCTTCTTTCTGGTTTTGGAGGCCAGGAGGCTGGGGCTCCATCGGGGCTCCCTCCGGTGGGCATGGTTTCAGATACTTCAATAATGGAGTATTTTGAAGGGAAAGAAGCCTTCTGGGATCCATTTGTGACACCGACCAGAGAGCTTAGCCCCCCTCGGGGGACACGCCAGAACTCCAGAGCTGTGAGTGTATGAGATGTCTGTGTGTGTGTCTACTCTCGGCTGACTTTCTGGAGAACAGAGGGTATTTATTTTAAGAGTCAAAAAAGATGTTTTGACCAACCCCACTTAGCTCAATCCTGGCACCGAGACCCGGGAGAGAAGAGAAATGCCGGAGGTCAAACCTCCCTTTTTTGGCTAAAATGCTTAATCAAAACACACCTAATACTTCTGCCGGGGTGTGGAGGTGGGGTTGGGAGCAGCCCCTGCTACTGCCAACAGCCGACCAGCCAGCAACGCGCGTGCGGAGGCTCAGCTAGCAAAATAAAGAGGTTTTTCAGCAAAGCGGCAGCCTCGGCGGGAAGGCCTGGGCTGAGAGGCTCCAGGAGGGGTGCGTCCGGTGGGTTCTCACCCTAGGTCAGTGGTGGGTGAATAGCCGATGATAATGAGGGTGCCTGCCAAGGTGGGCTGTTAAACAGGGCAGGTAGAGAGAAGCTGCTGGAACGGGACTTCCAGAACCAGACTCAGACCCCCGCTCTGAGAGGGGCAGTCCTGCCTTCGAAGTCCTGCATGGCTTCTTCCCTCTCTGCATGACATGAAGGGGTGGGGGCCTCCTCCGGGTCACCTGTGGTCCTGCAGCTGGGCTTCCAGGCGGCCACACTGCAGCTGGAAGGGGGCTGAGGACCTGGCTGGGAGCGGTGCACAGACCCTGCTCACCCAGCCCTGCTCTGCATGGATGCGCTCCAGTCCGTCTGGGCTCTCGCTCCGTGCGCCATGCATAGCAACCTGACCTATTAGGGACAGTGTGGTCTGAATGCCTACCTCCATGTCCCCATCTGACCACGGACTCCTGGATGGGTGGCCACCATCTCTGAGCTGGTGCACAGACCTCAAGGGACTCTTCCCAGAATGCAGAGAAGACCCTCGAGGCCACATAACAGGTGGATTTCCTGGGATGCTCCATCCCCTTTGGCAACTCTTAGCCTCAGACAAAAGGGAGGGGCTCTGGCCACCCTCAGCCCGAGGCTTGTGGAACATGGCGGGTCTGGACAGAGGACGGCTGTGTAAGGGACAATGAAATTCTGGGGAGCGAGGTTGCACTCGTGTTGTGCCCCATCTGCAAGGAGTGATGGAGAATGACCAGGCTCTCCTCGGAAAAGTCTCTCCTGCTGGTGTTTGACCAAGTGCCTCTGGTTGAACCAGGAGTGGGCCACGCAGGTGCCTCAGACGCTGGTCAGGGAGCCCACAGGACTGAGACTCCCACACTGCGGGCACACAGCCTGCGCCACCTTCAGAGACAGAGGCTGCTGCGGGCCCCCAGCTGCCTCTCTCTGCAGGCTAGGCCTCTGCCCTGGACACTCCCCACTGGGGAGCAGCGAGGACAGAAGATCAGGGCCACCAAGAATCAAAGTGAAACATGGCAGGGATGGCGCACAGGCTGGCAGAGGGGCCGACCGGCAGAGGGAGGGTGGCTGCCACCCTGAGCTCAGGATGGAGCAGGCTGGAGACCAGATGTGTCTGTGTGCGGCCACGGTGCTGTCAGGGCCCCTGGATGACCCTCCCGTGGGCTGACGGAGTGGCTTCCTTGTCCTCCCCGGAGCTCTCCATGACCTACTGCCTGGGAGAAGAGGGCTGGGTGTCGGGCCTGAGCTCCCAGCAGCGCACCCTCTTCCTCACCAGGAAGCAGACGGTGCCTCCTTGCTAATGTCCGACCACGGGGCAGCCAACGCCCGCTTGCAGCCCACGCCCCCGCCTCTGCGCCCAGGACTGGCGTGTGAGGGGGGAGACACGAGACGGCGCTGGCCCTGGGAACACCGCATTGCCGATGGGGCCTGGGCATCCATCTGCTGCTTGAGGCTCAGCTGCAGCATGAACCGTAGGGAAGCACCCCAACTTTCTTCCGTACTCTAGGGGAGCCCCAGGGCCACCGAGGGGTGGGGGCGTTCCTTTCACCAGACCCGGGCCCGTGCCCTGGGCTGGAGCCAAACCAGGAGGGATTCCACCCAAAATCGAGCTCAGAGCTTTGCCTTCAGCACAATCTCGGGTGCCTCAGACAGGCCACAGCCCTCCGAGCCTCTGTCCCCTTCCAGACATGGCGGCTCCGGAAGCCTGAAGTCAGCGCTCACGCTGCAGGTTAGAAACACGCAGGGGCTCCACGCAGGGGTGGATGCAAGCTGGAGAAGACCAGCTTGCAAATGGATCCTCAACGAGAGTCCCGTGCTGGCCTTGACACGGGCAGCACGCTTTCCCTGTCTTTGCGGGGCGACCGCACAGTGTCCGCACCTCAGTCCAGAGCGGTCACGGCTCAGGGCTCAGGAGCTCCCAGGAACGGGGACGGGGCTCTCTCCTCCCATGGTCGTGTGCGGTGCCCCGGGCACTACACTCCTCAGAAAGTTAAAGCGCAGTGTTGTCCTGCTGGATCAAGCTGCCCCATCTATGAGGGGCAGATCCATCCGGTCCCAGGGACCCCATAACCCAAGCATGGACCCCCCCCGTGCTGTGTGAGGCTGACAGCGGCCTCCATCCTGCTGGCTGGCCGTGTCCGGGGTGCAGGCCTGGGCAGCCCCTCGTGGGTGGGTGGACCCCATCCCTGGCCTTTGGGAGTTGGTGAGCACAGCCCCTTTCTGGAAGCCACAGCTCGCCTGAGATCCAGGCAGTCGGCCTTGCTCTCTCGTCCCCTCTGCCAGTCGACTGAGCCACTGACCAGCGTTCCTGGCTCTGGATTCAGAGTGGAAAGCAGACACACGAAAGAGTAGAAACACAGGCCCTGCTGCTGGCCAGACTCGGCCCCCAGCATCGGGGTTGACCTCCCACGGGCCCCTCCAGCCCGGCCCACGGATGACCTGGCCCCTCGCGGATGCCCTGGGAGGCCTCCGTGGTCTCCGTGGTGCTCACCTTCTCCGACTCATTCCCTTCGTACTTATGACCACCTTCCAAACCACAATTTCAAAATCTATTAGAAGAAACATAAAATCCCCAACTGTTTAGAATTCTTAACATTTAAAAGTATGACTTATTGTTGTTACAGCTGAGCCAGGCAGACATGTGCCCGGGCCCCTCACCCGGCCTGCGTGGGCATGGCAGGGCACTCTGCACTCCTGGCTTGTAATTTGGAAGAGCGGTAGTGTAATTTTAAGGGGAGGGTAAATAAAACCCCTGGATTTGACACCATTTCTCATGTTGTTTTTCAAATATTAGTTTCTATCTCGGTTTCTATTCTTATGGAAACGACGTTACAATTTATATATGTGTCTATGTCCAGCATTTGTGATCCAGAGGGGAAAATCCCATTTATACAGCTAATTTGTCAGTTTGCTTAGCTTAGAAAGCATTCTGGGACCCGTCCCTCAAATGCCGTCCCTCTGGAGTGGAGCTCGGCGGTTTTTAAGAAGAGACGCCAGGCAGGCAAAATTCTACAGCTCTGCAAAGCCGAGCCAAGAAAAGCCCCGAGTCAGAATTGTCGGGTGGGAGAAAGACCCAGAACGGCTGGTACTTTCTCTCCTCGCTAACCCAAGCCCGTGTCGGCGGCAGAGGGAAGGGCCAGAGCTCCTGGCATAGCCGTAGGAGCCCCCCCGCGGCTGGAGGGGCCGGTCATCACTGGCCACCCTAGGGTGCTTTCCGTGCCGTGGGCACTGCTGCGTTCCGCCTTTGCCTGATTTCCTTTGAGAAGCTTCCTCCAAAAACCACATCCACTTCCCAGGGGCCTGGGATAAAGAGCAAGTTAGCATGCTGCCCCCTCTGCTCTGCCCCAGGAGAAGCAGCGGAGAGATGGCATCCAGGCTCAGCCCGCCAGCCCACCTCCTCCCTCCGCCCCTGCCTCCTCCACTGCGGCTCCCTGTGTGGTGAATCGGGCTGCTCAGCCGGACTTTGCCTCCCCAGGTAGACTGCAAGCCCCACGTGGGCCACACGGTGCCCAACGCCCTCCCGCTCATCCTGCAGGGCTGCGCGGCTTGCAGGCAGGGTCAGAGGGCACAGGGAGAGAGGCCGTTGCCCGTCTCAGAATGCCTTCCTGCCCCCCTTGGACAGTTTTTGGTAATATGTGTGGCTTCCCTTAAGGACTAGGGTGAGCTGCTCAGAGCGGCTCCTGCCCCATAAGGAACCAGCTGCCTTCCCGGGGAGCTGGCGTCCGGGAGGGGTCCTTGGCATTCTCAGCAAATGAGGAGACACCGTTGGGATAAAAGACCTGACTTCCCAACAGAGCACTGTCTTGCATGTTGTGGAGAAGCCGCGAGGTCTCACCCTTGTCATTTCTGAGAACATCGGATCTGCCCCCACGGTTTACAGCCTGAGGACGGCATCTTGTTCGCCAGATACTAACCTCCCCTTTCACAATTGTTTTGCAGCACATGCTGACCGATACAGAAGTGTCGTCCCAGGAGGGCTGCATCCAAAAGGTAGGAGAGCTGGTCCCACGCCTTCTCCCTCGCCGTGGCCCGCGTGCTATCCTGAGCTAGCGTGCGTGTGGCCATGTCCGTGGCGCGGCCTGCCATTGGTGAGCGATGCGTTGTGTGTGGCGGAGTGCGTGCACAGGACAGGGGTTCTGATGACATTAGGACGGATGCTGGTTTGCACTGTGTCAGCAGGTAGGGGGTCACTGCACTGAACCAACCCTAACTCCTGAGAACCGGGAGAGTCGCCCCCATGGGAATGCTCAGGCCACGCAGACGCAGGAAAATTAAATAAACACAGGTCATGTTTGTTTAACCATCTCCACTGGATACTCACATGAAAAGAATACGGAGAGTGGGGGAAAAGCCACAATTGGCTGCAAATTCCACAAAGCCTGTGCTGTACTCACAAAGAGGGCTCGGGCGGGGCGTTGAATAAGCAGCTGATCAGGTGAAAGGAAAAGTGTCCACGTGGGCATTGTTTCCTGCCCTCCTGGCGGGTGACGGAGACTCGCAAACATTAGCTCTACAAGATCCAGAGAGTAAACTAGGCCCTGAAAAAAAAAAAAAAAAAAAACAATAAATGGAGGGACCCAGAAGCGGTTCATCAGCGCTCAGCGTCCACCCAGTCCGGTCACCCACGCACATGCACAAACGTAGGACACACGCACACCCACACTCAACACAGTAGCTGAACCCCTCTTTGGCATTTTCCATAGAATTAGGACAGCGCTCTCTCTCGCTGTGCTCGCCTCAAAGCAGCACCCAGGCGAGGCGGAGAGGGGCGCCCGCCGAGGACACCCAGACGGTGTCCCGACACCCGGGGCCTGGGTTGGCTCCCTTTCAGCATTGCGGAATGTATGCTTACAGGGACGGTCAGCCTCTGCTGGGGGAGCCCGAGGTGCATCTCAGGTGTTCCCCGAGCCCGGCTTGATGGTCTGAGCCGAGGACTCTGGGCAGAGCGCTCCGTAAGGAGGGGACCTGCCCTGAGAAGGGGCACGATATGTGCCCCTTGGGTCCAACCCCACAAATACTGATTTTGGAGAAAACCCTGCGAAGAGAGGCATTTTCTGACCCTGAAGTGACTTCCTGAAGGAGCTCTGGCCAGGGTTGATCTTTTAGCTCATTCTCGCCCATAACCCACGGTCTGCATCTGGCCGGTGCCCGCCCGTCCCAGCCCCGCTGCCCAGGGCAGCCTAAGCCTTTCTTCCGTAAAACACGACATCCCTCCCAACAGCCCCCTTTCCTTCCTCCTGCCTCTGGGAACAAACTCGGACTTCCCTAAAGGACGTAGGTAGCAAGAGATTTCAAATAGCTTTCCCATATTTCAAAGAATTGAAGTCTTTCCTCTCCCCCCGAAAAAGGCCCCGCAGTCAAGTCCAGTGTCTTAACCTCTAGAGAGAACACGGAATCTTCATTTTTCTCACTATGAACAAGCAGCTGAGCAGGTGACGCAGGTGGGACTTGCCCCGACGGTGGGGTGAACTGGTGGGAGGTTAGAGGTGACACATTTATGGTGGGACGGACACTCAGTTGTCCTGTGTGGATACAAGGGTTGAGGCAGAAGCCAAAAAAGTTAAGTCTAAATGTGAAGACGGTGAGGAGGCCGGGGCTGGGTGCTTTTGAGCCATGACGAGATGTGCCCGGGGAGAACCCCAGTCAGCACGTCCGCTCTGCTCCCGGAGCACCAGGGCCCCTGATGGGCCTTTTCCTTTTCTAAACTGTCAGCCCATCAGGCCCTGGCTGACCTGGTCAGAGGGCTTTCCTGAGAGCTGCTCAGGGGATGGGTGGACAGTGCCACGCCGACAGAGACCTGATGGCATTGCTTGGCCCAGGCATCCCCTCAAACACAAAACCTTGTAAGTCCTGGCGGAGCGGTCTGAGGTTCCCTCTCTGCACAGAATCAGAACTGACCCGATGCCCACGGCAGCTGGACACTCAGGGGGCCCTGGCGCCAGAGCAAAGGGGGCCTTGGTGGCCGGCCGGCCATTTAGAAAGAGGCCTCCTGACTCCCAGCCGGGCACCTCTGCCTCCTACCACCCCGCAGGCCCCTGTTGCAGGGGGAGGCTGCAGGCCCCAAGGGGGATCCTCCCACCTCCTCACGCACACCCCTCCCCACACCGAGACCCACCGCACAGCACTCAGCCGTCCACTGAATTCTGGGATTTTTCCGGCCTCATGCTGAACTTAGACATTATCAGCATTTGGGGCATTCAGTGTGACGAGATGGATGCCCAGGGTCAGGTTGGTGGGATGATCAAAACCTAACCCTGGTGCTTTGCTCTGGATCCATCGGGTGAGGGTTCCATGCCCAGACAATCCGGGAGGGAGGGAGGGAGACGCGAAAATGCAAAGCCAATGGGTTCATGCCCTGAGGCTGGAAAATGAGTAAATGTTCATTCGACCTTCCTTCCAAAAAGCAGGTCCCACCTTACCAATGTCTGTGTTACTTACAGCTGTGGAGGTCTATGCGCGCGCGCACACACACATTACAGGCTATGACCACACATGCCTCAGCATGCTGTTTTAAGGACACATTGAGTGAATTCCTTGGCAAGAGGATGTAGACCCCATTTATCAGTTTTGTGGTTTGGGAGTTTTGCGTCTGGCTGAACTGGGCCTCTCCTCCCCCACACGTTTGGGAGCCTTACAATACTGTGGGCAATTGCCGGGGGCCGTGGGTAGGTCAGTTGACATCTCCAGCTCATCATTCCGTTTTGAGGATGATGATACGTCCGGTTCTTTATGTGCATCAGTGAAGTGCAACAAAAGGTAATTAATGCAATCAGTGGCTTGACACGGATGCAGAAAATGTGATATTTTGTGGGGAAGTCCCGGTTATAAATTCTAAGCATTAGCGAGCCAGGTTGCTGGATGCGCCGTGGAATCCCTCTGTCAGGGCGCAGACAGGAGAGAGGGCCCTGGCCCAGGGAGGTGGGCTGTGCCCACACTCACAGCGGAGGTGGGATTCGAACCCAGGGGCAGGCGACCGGGCCTGCGGTGCAGGGCGGGGCTCCCGTGGGAGTGACAGCGGCCACAGCCTGTGAGCCGCGCCAGGCTCGGCCCCGCCCCTCAGGTCCCGGGATGCGCATCCCCGCCGCCGTGCCCCCCCGTGAGGGGGGTGTCGCCTGCATCCCTCCGCCCCGACACCCGCGTGCTCTGTGTCCCCCGCAGTCCCGCACCCCTCTCCGTCCCCTGCGCGCGCGTTCTTCCACCGCCCGCGGCCCCCCGCGCAGCCAGCGAGGCGCGCAGCCCAGAGCTTTGGTGCTGGTGAGACTGGGACCCGTCGCCATCCCCGCAACCGCCCGGCGCCTTCGCCATCCCGGCAACCGCCCGGCACCCTCGCCATCCGCGCAACCGCCCGGCGCCTTCGCCATCCCGGCAACCGCCCGGCACCCTCGCCATCCCCGCAACCGCCCGGCACCCTCGCCATCCGCGCAACCGCCCGGCACCCTCGCCATCCGCGCAACCGCCCGGCACCCTCGCCATCCGCGCAACCGCCCGGGTGTGCGCTCTGGGCGCGGAGCCCCTGCTGCCTGCGAAGTCACTTTGACTGCGGGTCTGCAGGTCGGGCTTCGTGGCCTCTTCCAGCCTCGGCGCCCGGACCTCTGGGACTGCTCCCTCCGACGGACTCTATTTCGTCTCTGTTTACTTAGAGGGAAAGCCCGGGGCTCCTGCAGAGCAAACATCTGCGGGAGATAATCTAGCGAGTTGTCCATCCATCACTCGGGTCGCCCGGCTCCCTGGAGAGCCCGCTGGAGCCTGTAATAAAAAGGCCCAGCGAAGAGGCTTTGGGGACGAATAAAGAGCCGTGTTAAGGGCCCGCTGAAAATGGATGGAAGACATTATTAAGGCTCAATGGCCGTCTTATCAAAATCCAATAGGATAGACATTTGGCAAAAGGCTTAAATTTATTCTTTGACTTTCTGGAGGGCTTGAATTTATCCGTTAACAAGAGTGTAGTCCACCCGGGGAGATGGTATCAGCTAAAAGAATTTTGATTTAATCTCTCTGGTGATATGAAAAGGGGACACGCAAGCCCCCGGCCGCCTTCCCTTTGTCCCACTTTATCTTGTTTTCTTTGACCATCTTGAAAAGGAAGGACGTGTTAATACGGTACAACTAGGGGGAAAGGCAAACAAAAGGAAGTGGCCTTTTCCTTTTTTTATTTTTATTTTTTCTTCTCCTCCCCTCCTCTGTCTGCCCCCACCCCACCAAAACTCAGGAATTTGCATCAGTAGGGCCAGGACTGGGAGGAGAAAGGTGCCACCCAGCCGGCGCTCTGGGGGGCAGGGGGCCGAGGGGTGCACGAGGGGTCCGAAGGGAAGAAAGCTAAGGAAGTCCGGTGCTGGATGAGGGAGCACGATGGCTCCGTAAATCTCTCCCCCATCGTCACGTGCAAAATGCTACAGGTCATAAAAGCCATCTGATAGCCCAGCCTGGCACTGTCCACAGAGGGTGATTGATTGATCATCATTATAATTTGTGAAATGATTATTTGGATGTTAGGACCGTGGTCTGCACCACTGGGCTGTTGCGTGTGCATGTGATCCATAGCCTGGCCGCAGTGAGATGCCTCTGCTCTCCGGGGTCCCTCCCGGCGGGGGCGGGGGCGGTGCTGGGTGCTGGGGGCCAGGGAAGGCTGGCCAGGGAGTCCAGGAAGACAACTCTTCAAGCTGCAAGAAGGTGGGAGCGGAGACCACAGGCAGCTGCTAAGTGTGTTTTGTGCCCACACACCCCAAGGTTAAGCCAGGCTGTGATTCTGGCATTTGGTGGGCCTGGGTCCTGGCCTGGCCAGGCCGTGGAAGTTCAGCACAGTGCCGCGTAGCCAGGTCCTGCTGTGCAGTGCTGCATTCTGGGGTCTGTGGCTCTGGCATTGCCCTGGAGGTGGCTGGGGGCCCCCGGGAGGGTGGTGGAGAGACAACCTATGTGGCTGGACCTCTTAAGAAGGGGAGGTCCAAAAATGCAGAAGACCCAGCAAGAAGTGCTGGTGGGCGCACGCGGGGTTCCCGCCAGTCTTAGTCGGGCAGGAGGCTTCACCGGGTCCTTCTCATGCTTTGCCTGCGCCGGGGAGGATGGTTTCAGCAGTCTTTTCCTTTCTCCTCTTCCCCTCCCAGCCAGCAACACGCAGGTACCACCAACACCCTATAACTCACCCTCATTTTACCTGCAAAGACGCTTTATTACCCCCCAAA